TTTTAGTAGAGACGGGGTTTCACCATGTTGACCAGGACGGTCTCGATCTCTTAACCTCGTGATCCACCCGCCTCGGCCTCCCAAAGTGCTGGGATTACAGGCGTGAGCCACCACGCCCGGCCTAGTATGGACATTTTAACATTAATTTTTCCAATCCATGAACAAGGAATGTTGTTTTCTTCAGTGTTTTATAGTTTCCAGTGTACAGGTCTTTTACCTCCTTGATTAAATTTCTTCCTAAATTTTTTTTTTTTTTGGTGGGGGGTACTTACTGTGAATGAGATTTTTTTCTATTTCTTGTCTTTTTTCTAATTCATGTTTTTTATTTCTGCTTTTTTTCTTGATTTTTTAGATAGCTTGATAGTATACAGAAATGCTGATTTTTGTTTGTTGATTTTGTATCTTGCCACTTTACTGAATTCATTAATTCTAAAAGCTTTTTGGTGTTTAGGGTTTTTTCTAACATAAGATCATGTTGTTGGCAAACAGAGACAATTTCACTTCTTCCTTTCCTATTTGGATGCTTTTACTTTCTCTTGCCTAACTGGTCTAGCTGGTACTTCCAGTACTATGTTGAACGAAAGCAGAGAGTGGGCAACCTCGTCTTGTTCCTGATCTTAGAGGAAAAACTTCTCATCTTTGAGTATGTTAGTTGGGGTCATGCCATATATAGCTGTAATTGTTATATACCATATATGTTGAAGTACATTCCTTCTTTACCTACTTTTTTTATCATGAAAAGATGCTGAATTTTGTCAAATGCTTTTTCTAGATAATGGGATGATCTAAGCTGGTGTGTGTGTGTGTGTGTGTGTGTGAGAGAGAGAGAGAGACACGGCATTTCACTCTTGTTGCCCAGGTTAAAATGCTATGGCGAAATCTCAGCTCACTGCAGCCTCCGCCTCCCAGGTTCAACCAATTCTGCCTCAGCCTCCCGAGTAGCTGGGATTACACGCATGCACCACCATGCCAGGCTGATTTTGTATTTTTAGTAGAGACGGGGTTTCTCCATGTTGGTCAGGATGGTCTCAAACTCGTGACCTCAGGTGATCTGCCCGCCTTGGCCTCCCAAAGTGCTGGGATTAAAGGCATGAGCCACCACAACTGACCTTAATTTTTTTTTTTTTTTTT